CGGCCCTCGCTCGCCTCGCGCCGGCAGTTTTGGGCCTACACCTCCCCTCCCCCCGCCAGCCACCAAAGACTTGACCACGTAACGAGCCCAACTCCCCCGAACGCCGCCCGCCGCTCGCCATGGATGCCGGTGTGACTGAAAGTGGACTAAATGTGACTCTCACCATTCGGCTGCTTATGCACGGAAAGGAAGTAGGAAGCATCATTGGGAAGAAAGGGGAGTCGGTTAAGAGAATCCGCGAGGAGAGTGGCGCGCGGATCAACATCTCGGAGGGGAATTGTCCGGAGAGAATCATCACTCTGACCGGCCCCACCAATGCCATCTTTAAGGCCTTCGCTATGATCATCGACAAGCTGGAAGAAGATATCAACAGCTCCATGACCAACAGCACGGCGGCCAGCAGGCCCCCGGTCACCCTGAGGCTCGTGGTGCCGGCCACCCAGTGCGGCTCCCTGATTGGAAAAGGCGGGTGTAAGATCAAAGAGATCCGCGAGAGTACGGGGGCCCAGGTACAGGTGGCGGGGGATATGCTGCCCAACTCCACCGAGCGGGCCATCACCATTGCTGGCGTGCCGCAGTCTGTCACCGAGTGTGTCAAGCAGATCTGCCTGGTCATGCTGGAGACGCTCTCCCAGTCTCCGCAAGGGAGAGTCATGACCATTCCGTACCAGCCCATGCCGGCCAGCTCTCCAGTCATCTGCGCGGGCGGCCAAGATCGGTGCAGCGACGCTGCGGGCTACCCCCATGCCACCCATGACCTGGAGGGACCACCTCTAGATGCCTACTCGATTCAAGGACAACACACCATTTCTCCGCTCGATCTGGCCAAGCTGAACCAGGTGGCAAGACAACAGTCTCACTTTGCCATGATGCACGGCGGGACCGGATTCGCCGGAATTGACTCCAGCTCTCCAGAGGTGAAAGGCTATTGGGCAAGTTTGGATGCATCTACTCAAACCACCCATGAACTCACCATTCCAAATAACTTAATTGGCTGCATAATCGGGCGCCAAGGCGCCAACATTAATGAGATCCGCCAGATGTCCGGGGCCCAGATCAAAATTGCCAATCCAGTGGAAGGCTCTTCTGGTAGGCAGGTTACTATCACTGGTTCTGCTGCCAGTATTAGTCTGGCCCAATATCTAATCAATGCCAGGCTTTCCTCTGAGAAGGGCATGGGGTGCAGCTAGAACAGTGTAGGTTCTCTCATAACGCCTTTCTGCTGTTTTCCCATGATCCAACTGTGTAATTTCTGGTCAGTGATTCCAGGTTTTAAATAATTTGTAAGTGTTCAGTTTCTACACAACTTTATCATCCGCTAAGAATTTAAAAATCACATTCTCTGTTCAGCTGTTAATGCTGGGATCCATATTTAGTTTTATAAGCTTTTCCCTGTTTTTAGTTTTGTTTTGGGTTTTTGGCTCATGAATTTTATTTCTGTTTGTCGATAAGAAATGTAAGAGTGGAATGTTAATAAATTTCAGTTTAGTTCTGTAATGTCAAGAATTTAAAAATTAAAAAATGGATTGGTTAAAAAATGCTTCATATTTGAAAAAGCTGGGAACTACTATCTTAAAGTCTTTGTTGGTGCTTTTTTTTCCCTCCCCTTTTAGTGTTAGGAGGCGTTCGTAGGGAGAAGGGTGGGCGCGTCCTTGGTCTTGTCTCAAGTCCTTTTCACCTTACTGGGGAGATTCCATTTCCTCTCCGGCCCAACAAAGGAACACGGTAGGCTGGGCCTGCTTTGGGTTGTCTGCAGACAGAGGGGCTCTCCCACAGAATGACATCCCTCCAGCCAAGTTCCAGAGAGAGGCCTCTGCCCATTTCTCTGGTAGAACACCAGGGTTTTCTGAGATGGAAAAATGTATGCCCATTCAGTAGGACCTCTGATGAATGGTAGTGTGTCCTTCCATCTAATTAGCCCCACTCCCACCCCCACCCCTATCTCACATAGAAAACTCTTAGCCAGGAACAAAAAGATGTTCTGAGGCCGGAGGAGCTTGGAGGATCCAGAGAAGTGGGGGAGGAAAGGGCTGGGCTGGGGGTGAAGGGAGGGGCTGAGGTTGGGGGAAGGGAGAGGGGCAAGGGTGGGTTTGAGGGCTTGGAAGAGGGCAACTGCTGCAGGGTGGTGGTAGGGATAGAGGGGTCTTGGTTGGGCAGCAGGATCGGGTGGGGGATGGTACCAGCAGGTTGCACGTGTCAAGCATGCACCTGTGGCAAGCAGCCTGTCAGAGGATGTTATTACACCTGCCAAGCGGTGTGTCCAGAAACAAAAGAGGCCCAGCTTCTAATTCTTCAGCTGGGTGCAATGTTTAGAGAAATCATTATACCAGGAAATAATCCTGCCTAAGAGGGGCAGTCCTCACAGGCAGGAATGTAGGCTGATCTATTGGTTATGGCCTAAGAATGACCTCGGTGTTAAAAATACAGATTCCTGAGTCCCACCCCAAATTTAATCAGAAGACTGCATTTTTAACAAACACTTCAAAAATTCTTAGATTTGAGTGCCACTGATTCTCTTTGCCAGTGGATTAGGAAGATCCTGCTGTGAAGGCCTAACAGCCTCATGTCCACATCAGCTAGTGGGACTAGGCTGGACTTGATGAGAGAAGAAAAATTCTCTACCGTTAGGTGAAAGACACACTAGGAAAAACAGTACAAGACAATAGACGGTTAGATGCCAAAGTGTAGTTCAAACCCCAGGCCTTGTAAGAGATCACTAACGGCAAAGAGAAATTCCTGTAGGACAGTATTCTCCATGATAAATTATTTGTTGAGGCTTATTCTCTACAGGGCATCTGCTGCTTTTTTCTGAGGTACAAACCTGGTTCCAAGGGTCCCTGGAGGTAAGATTGGGGTCTACTGTGCATTTTACACCCACTGTGGGGTCAGGCAGTCAGTCACTGAAAGGAGCCCAAATTCTGGAGTTAAACCTGAGTTCAAATTTGAGTTCTGCCACTTACTTCTGGGCTTGGGCAAATTACTCAACCTCTGTATAAAATGGAGGTGTTAAAAGTGCATGTCTCCTGGGCTTGAAAAAAATGAAAGCATATATGTAAAGCAGAACAAGTGCTTACAACACAGTAAAGTTCAATATACTTTAGATTGCAAAAGGCCAAAGGCCCATTTCTGCCCACCATATCTTTGGGCAGAGAAGATAGATAGTAAAAAGTAGGGAACAAAGCAGTGTGTATTAAATGATAAGCTGAGAGAAGACAGTTGGACTGAGGGGCCAGGACAGATAGAGGAGGCCCTAGTGAAGACCCAGAAATGGCTTCAGTGTCTTGGAAACAGTGAGCACAAGTCAGGTTGGCATAGAGTAGGGCAGGAGTGGATAATTAAGTGGGACCCCCAAACACCAATCCAAATGGTTTGTGAGGAATCCCTGAAATTTGCTGGGTGAAGTGGTTTGAATGCCCTATAAAAAGGAGGCTTCATTTTTCTCAACTCCCTCCCGTTCCCACCCTTTAAAAGGCAAAGCTGGCAATAATTTGTAAAATAATGATTTAGGCAGCAAGGCATGGGATAAATGGCATAGTTGGAGAAACTAAAGGCAGGAACAGCAATTAGAAAACTACCTCAAGTAAAAAGCAGATTCTAATATAGGTTGGGAAATGGTATCAATAGGAATGCATATAGAAAGGGGCCAATTCAGGGCCGGCCCTGTGGCTTGGTGGTTGAGTGTGCGCGCTGCGATGCTGGAGGCCCGGGTTCTGATCCCGGGCACGCATCGAGGCACCACTTCTCCGTCCATCCTGAGGCCGAGTCCCACGTGCAGCAACTAGAGGGATGTGCAGCTATGACATACAACTGTCTACTGGGGCTTTGGGGGGAAAAAATAAAATAAATAAAATCTTAAAAAAAAAAAAAAAGAAAGGGGCCAATTCAAAAGAGGTTGAAACTGGGTGTGGAGGGCCAGCCCCATGGCTTAGCGGTTAAGTGCGTGTGCTCTGCTACTGGCGGCCCGGGTTGGGATCCCGGGCGCGCACCAACGCACCGCTTCTCCGGCCATGCTGAGGCCGCGTCCCACATACAGCAACCAGAAGGATGTGGAACTATGACACATAACTATCTACTGGGGCTTTGGGGGACAAAAAAAAAAAACTGGGCATGGAGGCCAGAGAAAGAGACATAAGGAGAGGGAGCAATGAATTCAGACATGGTGATGGGAGTATCTGTGGATAGAAATATTCAACCAGTAGCTAGAAATAGGAGACAAACTCTGAAGGGAAGTCAGAGCCACAGGGAGAAGGTCAAGAGGAAAGGGCTAGAGACCAAGCTTTGGTAAGGGACCTAGTCTAACTGTTCACCACTGTCTCTCTGGTGCCTGTCACCATACCTGACATACAGCAGGGGCTCAATAAGTATTTGTAGAATGAATATGGAAGAAGCAGCCAATGAAGAAGGTATAGGCCAAGCAGCAGGAGAAAAACCAGGATAGTGGCCTAGAGAGGAGTCAAGGAGGAAAATTTCAAGGCTGATGGAGTGACAATAATGCTACAGAGAGGTTTAGCAGATTTGATCGAACACCTACTAGGTGCAAAATAGTTTGAACTAAAACTTGATGTTTTCATACAACTGAAAGATGTGTAGTAAATTAGAGCATGTACATGGTAAAGGGTAGGAAGGGGAGGTGGAGGAAGCCACAGAATCATTTGAGGCTAAATTATAAACAGCCTTGAATGCCGTAATAAAGGGTTTGAGCTTTATCCTGAAAACCAGTGGTCTCCAAACATTTTCTTAATATAAAAAGTCTTTAGTATATACCCTTATTA